TTACTACAGGCTTTAAAGTTAGCAATGGAACTTGTTGCATTCGATCTCTTGTTATCCTAAAGAATTGCTTCCTTGTTAACTTGCATTTTTCTTTCCCTTTAAAATGTCTGGAACTACTGTTATTTTGAGTTTTTCAGATATCCCTGTGAAAACGAAGTTTAATCTCAGGTATTGACTAGTTTTCTCAAACAAAGTCCGTTTCTATAACGCATGAGATTGATGCATACCATGTGATGGAATATATCTGTTGAAAAAGGAATACAAAAGCTATTTCTTGTGTTCATACGTTCCTACTTATTCTTCAGCTGCATCTGCTAAGACAACGACTTCAACAACAACTACGACTACAGCTTCGACCACGAGGATCGACGTTATGACAACAATGGATAACTAGGCAACGACCATGGATATATTGATCATACATGGATCATTTTACCATTTCCATATTATAGTTTACTAAACGAGTGTTACAAAAATTCCTTTCTTAATAACTTCAAGCAATGTCAGACTTTCTTTGACTGATGAACCCTAATGTGTGAGACTGTGATGTTTCTTTGTACATATTCAAATAGTGTATTATATGACTGAGGCATGATTTATACCTGTGAGTGTTTACTCCTACATTGTGTAAAACTGATTGTTAAATAAAACTTGAAGCTAACTCATTGTTGTCGCCTTGTGAATCTATTTATTTCTACACCAACAACTACCTTTGAAACATTGGACATTATCTTATGCACATTATGGGGGTTACAATAGCTGGAACCAAGCAAAACACATAACACATAATTACGTTGGATAATATTCCAGTTTATCCATTTGGCTAAATCTTAAAGTTGTCGTTTATGCAAACATCTCAATCCAGGAACAAATACCAGTTAGGTCGAATCCCCGCCCGATTCCTGAATGTATGGTCCGATAGACCCTTGAAAATAGAGGCATGACCTGCAGTATTGGTCCTGGTGGCATGATATGATGTAGATGAAAGATCCGTATGAAGTGATCTTGTGCAGGGTGGTGACTCTTGGTTTTCCATTTCCTAGGTTGAATATCAGGTTGGGATACCAATCCCATAAACAGGATAAAGTTGTATGCTTCTCTCGAGGGTAATACGGTCTTTTGTACGCGTCTTTGTAGCAGTGTTACCCGAGCCGGAGTACAAATTTTCTTTTTATTAAATCTTTAGATCGATAAGCTCGCTACTGATTATATGACATGTAAACAAAATGGCGTCTGCCTCTCGACTGGAGTTTTAAAATCACTGAAACATATTCCTACAAGCTTATAACTGCTATATAAATGGCTAATTATGTTAAGGTTGAGTGTGCAAACACTGCAATGTATACAATAGTTTAAAGAAGGCAGTGAACGTCGGTAAAATAATTGTATACATAGTGAACTCAAAAACAGCTAATCGAACGGTTTTCCAACTCCGTGAACTGCATGCATAATATCATGACGTCATACGATTGTTAGCGATACAGTTTGGCGGTAGTGGGTAACCAACCCATAGTTCCACTGGTATGTCCAGACAAATGGAACAATGGGTTGGTCACCAGTATTGTAGCAGACATCGTACAAACTGTCTGGTAAGTGGACAATGCTTGTGGAAGGGTGCTTTTGTTACCCGCTTTTGTATCAGACAAGATATAAACTCTCTGGTGTCTGGTCATACTTGTAGAAGGATGGTTTGGTTACCCATTATTGTATTAGAAAATGTATAAACTGGACATACTTGTAGAATGGTACTTAATGGTCAATCAGTCAACACTCTGCCATACGTTAGCGACTTGGGAAAATGCCGAGACTGAATACTGCCAATCGAAACATCGTGTCATTTTACCAGAGCATATAGTATCTGTGTACCCGCCTCGCTTCACCCAAGTCGTCCGAGGAGTAGTAAACCAAGAGTCACCTCCCTTGCACAAGATGCCTACATCCGGGTCTTTCGTCTACTTCATGGAGCTGTTACTTACACCGAGACTGTAGGACATATATGCCTGGTTTCAGAAGGGTGTCGGACCAAACAGTCCCGGGAGACAAGTATTTGTCCGTGAATTGACACTTATGCATCGACGACAACATTGTAAGGACAAGGACAATTGCAACTTCGCAATGTTGAAAGTCTTCATAATACAAACATCGATGTTTTGAAATGGCCTTCTAGGTCTCTGGATTTGAAACCCTGTAAAGCGTCTATGAATTGGGCTCGATGGACATGTACGTCAACGTCAACGTACGCCAAAACTCGTGCAAAGGGCTAACGCGTTGCAAGAGAAATGGAGAACCATTCCCCACAACACAATCTTTAGACCTGTTCTGTCTGTACCCAGGATGTGCAGAGCAGTTACAGCATCACACGGCGGTGGTACACCTATAGAATACCGGATAAATAGCAGCCATATTGTTTAGTCACTTCACCCTAACCCTAACCCTAACCCTAACCCTAAACCTTACCCTGACCCTGATCCTAAGTAAACTCGCATGCTTTCAAAGATGGCGGAATGTATCCGGTATTCTGTAGTCTTACCACGGCGGTCACACCAAGCACTGATCAGGGGCCTCCATTCGTGGACTTACGTTTCTTGTGACAGGTTAATCAGTATTGACATTTACAAAAGGACATGCAACGTTAACCAAGTTTCACCCTCCTATAAATCATATTGAATAAACACCCGATTTGAGGTAACAATTTCCGCCAATATTTTTGTGGTCTTCACAGGTGTTATTACGTTGTTAAATTTCCTTAATGTTAGAGCAGACGACTTTTTTAGACACAAAGGAAGAACGTGATTTTCGGTTTTAATTACGTTTCTGGATCAATTACTGGAGCTTAATCCATTAATGATCAACTGTTTACTTTGTTTGGTTAAGGTAACCATATTGTTTCATTGCCTGTTCCCTTTTGGTCAAATTTCCCAACAAGCATAGGTAATGAATACATAGGGATCGCGTCTCAGGGTGTGTAATTGCAAGACAATCGTTTTGTTTCACATTCCTTAGATGTTCGCGATTGAAAACGACTTTCCCTTCATAATGAGTGAGTGAGTGTAGTTTTACGCCGCACTCAGCAGCATTCAAGCTATATGGAGGCGGTCTGTAAATAATCGAGTCTAGACCAGACAATCCACTGATCAACAGCATGAGCATTTATCTGCCCAACCAAGTCAGCGAGCCTGACCACCCGATCCCGCTAGTCGCCTCTAACAAGCATGGGTTACTGACGACCAATTCTAATCCGGATCTTCACGGGTCCACATTCATAACAATATGTATCCAACTCACAATAAGGATCATTTTGCGCCTTATGAAATGAATATGGCGAAGACAAGAATACGGATTTCCGGATTCCTAAAGATGTCGAACATGACCGCTTTTGAGAGGGCTCAGTCATGGTTGGATCAGAAGAGCTGAGTGTACCGATCTCCATGTCCTGCAGTGGGGCACTACAGGCTAACATTCTGGATGTGGGCGATCGAATGCTGGTGCAATGAAACCGGACTTCATCCTCATGGACGCTAACGCACGCTGTTATCGTACCAGAGTTGTTGTTGCTAACTTAGAGCAGACCAGAACACCATTGGCCGCATGGACTGGCCATCCCGGTCACAAGAAATGTACCATATCTTATACATGTGGAACGAGGTGCAGATCGACGTCATCCGGCGCTCTGTCCTTCCGGCAACTTTACGGGAACTGCGCTCTTACTGAAGAGTGGAACAATCTTCCATTGACGACGAGTATGAGACGATGGTGACTGGTTGTGACCAGATGAGATCTGAATCGGTTTTGGTGAGATACTTTCATTTTGATCTGACTGGTCAAATGCTGTTTGTTGTCATTGTGTGGCACAATGTCATGGCAACGCACTTTTGTTCATAAAACATGTTTTTGCGAAATACTGTCTTTGTCTTTTTCAACATATGTACACAATCGACGTATGACCCTTTAAAGGGGGTGATGTTTTATTTTAAACATATTTTATTCATTCAAGAAAAGGACTGGGCACAAGTTATCCAACTTAGAAAAGCCCTCTCCAGATAATTACACGATTCATCTTACAACAAAGTACACAAGTGACAGACATAGGCTAGGGTATGTACAACAGATGTTAACTGAGAAAGCGTTTTGTTTGAGAGATATAGATATGTACATTTTTTAAACATTCTGGTTTTCAGTGATTGAGAGACCTGCATTGCCATGTAAGATAAGATTAATATAAAAAGGGGGTGATTCTTGTCAAACTTTGAGTAGTATATCTCGTGTTAATAAATAGACAAGGCTAAACAAAAACCTTTGGATATAACATCTAAATTAGATGTGTAAATGCTTCGGACAAGAGAAATTGGTCTGTTTGCGCGCCTGTCCTGGAAAGATATTTTTCTGAACAACATTATTCTGTACATTTGTCTTCTAGTGAATAATATCGGAATTATGAACCCTCTCCCCAACCCTGATAATCCAGACTACTAACCTCTGAAAGCCCATTCATTGGCCACTGTTGTTCTCGAGTACATCTTATGCAGTAAAATAGTGTATATGCATCACTATTACATAGTGGCGGTTGGTAGATCTAGTGGTTAAAAGATTCTCTCGTCTCTCGGTTAGCCCGGGTTCGATTCCCAACATAGGTACAATTTAGGAAGTTCATATCTTTGTGTCCCCTGTCGTGCTGGAATGTTGCTAAAAGCTGTGTATTGTTGGAATATTGTCAAAATGGGTAGTAAATAGTGAACATGGTTATTGTGACCATAATGTGCACAGTGTGATGCAGTCAGATGTCTCTGAGAAATGTGTTGGTGCAGTAAAATATATAAATTCAGAAGACAAAAACAAGGAGTCAGTTGGATGATTTATCAAACAAGCAATTTTATATAGTGCAAGATTGGACACTCACAGGTAGGCATCATGGCTAAACAAGTTATAGAATATAACATTTGTGTACCAAGATGGAGGAAACCATTAGAATGTCAAACCTTTCGTACATGGGTGAGAGAACATCTGGGATAACTAATAAAAGACACATCGTAATATACAATGAATAAACTATACTTTGCAAAGGGTAAAATGATCCGTGTATCAATAATACACCCAGGGTATTTATCTAATTATTCATCGTTGTCATAAGGCCGAGATCCGTAGTCGAAACTGTAGTCGTAGTTGTTGTTGATGTCGTTGTCGTCGTAGCAGCTGAAACACAGGTAGGAACTTAAGTACAAAGGAAGACAGCTTGTGTATTCCTTTTCAATAAATATATTCCATTACAGTGTATACATCTGTTTCAGGTGTTGGACATAAACGGTCTTTGTTTGAGAAAGCTTGTCCCTGGGCCATTAACACCAGGGGTCCAGCTTAGTGTTTATAAAGATATTTGACACCATGAACATTTTATATAGCATACTTAACTTGAAACCTCAACTTAATAACATTTCGGTTCCGTGTTACGTGATGAAAAAGGTTCAGGTATAGTGGTAACCCGTGAAGATCCTGGTTGGAATTGATCTTCAGTAACCCATGAGACTAATGGGTAGAGTTGAGTCGTGAGGCTCACTTGGTTCATGCAGGTCATTGTATCGTACGTGCAAACATCGATCCTGATGATGCCAATCACTGAATTATCTGGTCCAAACTTGAAAATTTACAGACAAGTATAGATAGAAAATTGCTGAGTGCGACTTGAGAAGCAACCTTACAAATACTGAAATTAGAGAGTTGTATCCTCAAAAGTCTTACCTGTCGTCAAAGCATCCTTGAAGGCCTGGCTCACTGTCAATACAAATAGCAGGCATAAACATGTGATAATTAACAAGAGCACATTTCTCAAGGACAAATAGAGATTGAAAATACTACTACGTAGTACTACTTAAGTGAACAATGGAAGATATATTCTTCTGTTCTACTTACATGTACAAATAAGTTGCTTGACTGGATTCACAGAATACACAAGGTAGTAACTATTGCCCGTTAGAAAGACTCGATAACGATTTCCTGTCATGGCCAACAATTCTTGAGAAGGGGCGTAGTGACCGTAACCGACGCCAATGATGGAGACGTGATCCGCCCTCAGCAGCAGGCTCTCGGACACTGTGGAGAAATAGTTGTCTGATTGCTGTGGGGTGACGACAATGACGATACGAGCGGCGTTTGGACGACCGTCTGTCTTGAAGTAGGACCTGATGGACCTGAGAGCCAGAAAGGTTCTTGCTCCCTTAAATTGTGGTCTCCATGTCTGAATAGCTAACTGAAGGTCGTTTGGGTTGCTGGTGAAAGGTGCAAGGAGTCTGACGGTGTTGCTGACTGCGACGATGGACAGTCGGACTTTGCTGTAATCGCAATGAGAGACGAAGGTCTTGAGAAAGTGGACAAGCCCCGGTGAGAGCACGATTCCTCCCCAGCTGTGATACATGGTCGCTTTGGAGTCGACGACAGCAATTACGATGTCGGTATCGATTGGCACTGAACATTCTGAAAACGACCAGTTCATTTAATGACATACTTGTCAGATGTACTGCCTGAAGCCATTGTGCAGAAAAACCTCAGAACAATGTTTGTATATGATCAAAATAACATTCTAGATTCAAGGTCATGATGAGATATATACTTAAACACACAATTTCTTGGTGATCTCTACTCCTAAGATGGAATCTGTTTGCTGAGCATCAACACAGACTTGTCATGTACATAATTATATACGGAGTCCGCATATAAAAGAACACATCAGCATGGTGTTACTTTTAGTAACATATACCATACGTACCTAGACATTATCAAAGTTTTTGACGAAAAGACATGTTTCAGTAGATATTACTCACGAGAAGCTGAGGCATATCCACCAAATACTAAAATGACGCCAAGGCAGACGAGACGCAGACGAGCAGACGACATCAGGAAGTCCATCTGAATATTAAACCACAAGAATGAGCTTTCATGAAGCTTCTTCCAATATTTGAATATTAAGAAGAAAACACACTTGCAAAGTTCAATCAGATAATTGGTCGGAGTTAACAGCATAAAGTACAACCAGATCCTTCTGTAAATAATGAAAAAAAATTCTTTTCATTTTGGAGATTTATGACCAATCTTCATACAATTTCCTTCACTCCTTTTATGCCCTGTAACGATGTCGGCAAGTTGTCGAGACTGTCACTGCTGATCTGTATTCACTGAAAATACGTAAATTAAACATGTTCAAAATTCATGAAACTTACAGTTCTCACTCTGTTGTCCCAGTGCAGGTTGTGGATAGACAGGAATGACAATGCTTCCACAGCTCCCTCTAATATAGCCCAGTGCCCACTGCCCAGGGTCAAGATCAGTGTGGACACAGGTCAAACATCCAGCGCTTCCCTAACAGTGCAAATCGAGCGTAAACAAGAACGGTATCTTGTTGATTAGAACAGATTAATAAAATTAAGATGTTAAACACTGACTAGAGGCATGGCTTCTGCGTGGCATGCAGGTGGTACGTTGTCGTAATATGGGAGATAAGGTATCTTTGTCACTTTCAAATTGTTTCATACTTTGGAATATATGGAATGAATTAGCGGATCTAAATAACAGTACTAATGATCATACAGGTCCATTTTCACTTCATATTTTTCATACGTTGGAATATGTGTATAGGAATGAATTTGACGGATTGTTCTTTGACGTTCTAAATAAAAAGTGTGTATTTTAATGATATACAGGCTCCATTTTCACTTGTACTATTTTCAAATATGAAAGAGTTTCTACGATTAGAGTATAAATATTTGACTATGATTTTCGTTCTTTGACGTTTGATGCACAACTGACATTTATATGTGTTATATTTATTGTCTTCTCTACCAGAAGCTTATTGCAGTAGAACTCCCGTAAAACGTATTGCAGCTGTACTGACTTACTAACTTAAACTGGACATTGAAAGAGTTTCTATGACATAGAGAGCAAATCTGGGTCTTTGAATGATATTAGCTGATATTACAATATTATCTGGATTGAGAATATAATATTCAGGTAACAATTTCCTCAAATCTGACAAAACGGACATATTAAGCAGAAATGGTACTCTGTTTCAATACAACCATATGTATTGTATGTTTGTAGGAAGAGGGAAGTGATACCGTTCTGGTTTACGCTTGATTTGCACTGTTAGGGAAGCGCTGGATGTTTGACATGTGTCCACTCTGATCTTGACCCTGGGCAGTGGCCGCCTTCCTATATTAAAGGGAACCGTGGACGCATTGTCATTCCTGTCTATCCACAGACAGCACTGGGTCAGGAGAGTGGGAACTGTGAGTTTGATGTATTTTTAAACTATTAGTTAGATTTCTTTGATGGGCATTTTATTAGTTAGATACAACTTTTCACTTTTCTGTATGAGCAATTATATTATAATCAAGATTCTAAATGTACACGATTTAATCAAATGTCATGCATCTGTAATGTACATACAGATATAACAATTAAATAGGCACAAATATGTGTGTAATTATACTCAGCGTAAAGTTTAATATATGATAACCTGTTATTTACAAATCATGTCAGATATTGACATTAAAATCTATCGGATTTTGTCATATATTCATAAACTGCTTGAAACTTAGGTAAACAACAATCAAAACTGAGATGTATTTTACTCTGTCATAATGTTTCTAAATGTAGTTGAGTTTCCTTCTTGTAAATCTTTATTTAATACATGCTGTCGGAAGGAATAATTATCAACACAAGCTTAGAAATAGTGAAAGCTTTTTCATTCATTTGAAGATCCACAAGAAAATAATTGGGTGTCGCGTAAATTAATTCAAAATACAACTGCTTTTACAGTACGACAATCATAATTATTATGCTCCTATCTTGTGACAAAATATTAATTTTTCTTTTACATAGATGAATTATTTTGGTATTAGTACATTTGGTACAGTGACGTTAGATTGGAAGGTCAACACAGTAAAACTCTTTGTATCAATCGTGTCAATTGTATTGGGAGTGAAGGGTTATATTTGTAACAGTTCATGTGCAAAGGAAAGTCATGTCTGATTTGGAAAGTAACCATAAGATGACGAGTTCTCTGTACACGTTGGAAGCAACTGAAACGCCTGGGGTTTGCATGAATTATTGCCCATCTTGAAAGCGTAACATGTGTTATATTTGGGATTACACTTCCTTAGTACAGATTCTAGTACTTTTGTTGGGCTGAGTCCCATCAGGGATTCCGACCCACACCCTCAGAGTCAGGCACCTAATCGCCAGCACACAAATCCAGCCGTCTAACCCGCTCAGCCATCGCAGCTTCCACCAAAATGGAAGTCGGACAACTGGTAGTCTAGACTGCGGACTTTGTGTACCCCTCTGATAAGACCTCTATTTTGTCTTTAATGCCCAGCGGAATCTTTTTCGGTACATACTCGAGACAAAAATTCCATATTTAATGGAACGCAGATGAGGCAGTGCTATTTACGGTGCTTTGGTAGCTCCCAGGGTCATTTCTTCTTAATTTAAGAATATATTATATATGATATATATTATAACATAATTATAAAATGTACAGTATGTGTAAATGTAGAGCTTTGGTAATAATTGCTTGGTTAAACTTTTATTATATATGAATGAACAAGAGAAGTATTGATACTGTGTTTGAGGCGTATCAATAATAACAAGTTAACACATGTATACTGCTTGACAGGACATCTGACTAAGTTTACCTTTGATACTTAAGTGTTTACATAATTTTAAAGAATATTAAATTTCAGATACTGAGTACAAGTTCTCAGACTGCTGTCATAATAAGGTAATATGTGGCTGACGCAATAACAACACAGCAGGATATAAAAGATCTGGAGTTACTTACATTAAAAGCAACTCAACACAAAAACAAACGTATTATGAGTATTCAAAATCAATAAATGGGGTGCGAGTGTCTATAGAATATAAGGCTCCCTGATTGTATTGTCAGCATATTTGACAAGGTGGTATACTGGGAATGGTATAAGGTCACTTCTTATCGTATTTGTAGTGATATTGGTCCCCTGGATGCTTTGAAAATTGACAGAGGCGGGTTCTTGTTACCTATGGGGACGGTCGGGTAACCTAGCGGTTAAAGCGTTTGAGTGTCACACGGAAGACCCGGGCTCATCCCCACATGTGTACAATGTGTGAAGCCCATTTCTGGTGTCCCCTGCTGAGATATTGACGGAATATTGCTAAAATCCGTTGCGGAAGAACGGCTGGGTTTTAAGTTTGGACTAAACTCACTCAACCCACAGAATGAGAATGCATTTATCTTGCACAGGTTCAACAAGAAGTGGTATCAATAAAACTAAACTCACTCAACACCTGGGGTTCAACATGTATCAATACAGTCAGGGACCCCTATATTATAAGCATTGTCGCTTACATACATTTTAAAACGCATTTTACCTAATTCGGCGATAGCTGTGGCATTTTGCATCATTTTTATACGATTTGCATCTTGTGTATTATTGACAAAAGCAGGATTACTAAACATATTGGATAATGCATTGATATCATTATAAAATGGACAATGTTGTAAAAATGCTTTTCGTTTTCAGCACAATTGGTACAGATTTTACAAATCTTTCTCTTGGAGTGTGAGTGAGTGAATTGGGTTTTACGCCGCTGTTCCAGCAATATCACGGCGGGGGACACAAGAAATGGGCTTCACATATTGTACCCACTTTCTCTTGGAGGTGTGGGGAGGTGTATCTGCCAGTCCCTATTTCTACATGAAGAGAACCACAACAGAGAGAAGTTAAAACGCTACACTGGTGACGTGGAGTTCCACTTAAAATTCCTTCGAAAAAGACTATTTAAAAAGCTAATACGAGGTCGTATGTGCTGAGCTTTGACTGACGCTGAAACCAGTTGTCATATGACCCTTTCACTTGTGTTGTTTCTTCAATTAAAATCCATTAATGGGGCTTATCGAGAGAGTTAAGAATAGAGTTCAGTGAAACACTGTTAAAAAACTTTATAACTTTGACTTCTCCGCATTTACCGTTAGTTTTAGACCAGGAATGGCTTTTTCAATACGTCTGGAATCAGATGCCCTTTCAAGTGTAGTCGGCACTTTAAAGTCTTGCATCATAAATAAAAGTAATGTGCTAGGGTTCTTACCAACCCATTCCATCCCCGAAAGCGAGGTTAGGCGTATTTATATAAAAACCAAGGAAAGCTCCATATGCTCTAAGTTGTATCGTATACATTTCGGGGAATTACACCCAAAATATTGGAACAGTATGTAATTACAGGTTTTAAAAGAAACAAGTGAAATCATTGCGAGGCATATCTCTATATGAATGATACTGTTGCAATAGAAATGCCCAGAGCTCGAGATTAGACCCATGCACACGCACATGACAAAATGCATTCACCCAGAGATCTAGGTGTCTTTAACGATCAGCATAATATATCAACAAGTTACCACATCTAGATACAGGTTCTCACCCTGAGATATATTCCTCTGTTGGAAATGGTTAACATTGGTTTCTTTGCCATTTATACACAAGCTTCATTTACTAATGCACTGACCCGTGAAGATCCGGGTTAGAATATTGATCTTCAGTAACCCATGCTTGTCGTAAGAGGTGACGAGCGGGATCGGGTGGTCAGGCTCGCTGACTTGGTTGACACACGTCATCGGTTCCCAATTGCGTAGATCGATGCTCATGCTGTTGATCACTGGGTTGCCTGGTTCAGACTCGATTATTTACAGACCGCCGCCATATAGCTGGAATATTGCTAAGTGCGGCGTAAAACTAAACTCACTCACTCACTACTAATGCACAGGTGTAGCATTATGCATCATAAGCGTGCATGTGCACTGCGACACAGACATCATCAGTCTGGGTACAAAGGTTACTGTTCTTTAATTTCCACCGTCAGTTCATTTATGTAAATGTCAAATAAAGTAGGTGATAATAGGCAGCCTTGTATTACACCAAAGTGACTTATGCACTGAGAAGGGTACTGCTTCCTTCCGTTCATTCTGACATGTGTCGTACTGTGTCGTACTGTTTCTTTAAGTTTGTAACAGATCAATACATGTATATGTTATATTTGGGACCACCGCGGTCGGACAACTGGTAGCCTAGATCACGTACTTTGTATACTCCTCTAGCCGCAGTCACTGGCCTTCACACATTGTGGGGAGAATCGAACCCTGGTCTTAGACCAAACGAGCGAAAGCTTTAATCAAGAGGCTACTCCGCCAAACATTAAATATACAGTATACCCTGGTTATAATGCCACCGTTTGTCCAGGAGAAAATATGGTATTATATCCAAGGTGGCATTATAACCAGGTAGGACAGTTAGCGGTCCTATGTAATCAGCAAGATGGTTCAGCTTATGTATCCTGTAATGAGCCTTGAATGACTGGATAATCTTGTGACTGCAGGTGACTTCTTGTTGTAGGTGGCAGGAGGTGTATTGTCACATGTGCTATCCTATCTGGGATTACATGACTGCTTAAAGCATTAATGAGTTTAGGCAATTAATTTGAGTCATGTCAATTAACCAATTACGGTATGTATACAACATGCAGCCAGTGTAATTGGTGTTATAACCAAGGGAAAATGACTTTTTTGTTCCAAAAACCATTGACATATGGCATTATAACCAGTAGCTAGGGCTGCGCAATATAACCGGTTTACCGGTATTTACCGGTTCAGACATGAAAACGATACGTATTGCGATACGCTGATCGAAAACCGGTATTTTGACATGCATTCGGAAAACTTCGTAACACTCGGAAATCTTCGGATATTTCCGTTTTTTTAATTGTTCTTTTCCCTGTTTCATTAGTGCCAAATGTTACTTACATTTTTATTTTATCATGATTAAAAGTTTTTATAAAAGGTTAATCAATCATAGTGACTTTGTTGTGTTTTTGCTTTATAATCAAGCATTAACTCGATTATAAGTAGTTTTTGTTAAAAAAATAATCCTTGCAATATATTGCAATACATATCGCAATATATGCTTCCGCATCGCAATATATCGCAATATGAAAATTCTCTGCAATACCCACCCCTAATAACCAGGGTATTATATAGGCAGGAAATCCGTGCTGGCAAAAACATGGCATTATAACCAGGGTGCACTGTATAAACATGAGAGCAAGTCTCACTAATACCCCAACTGGGACTACCCACTTCTGCTGAACAATAATTGATCAAAAAATATTCTTGACAAAAATACGAGATTTGAATCAAACTTTGCAGTGCACCATTCCTTTCATCAAAGGTGTCATATCCCTCATCTAAAGGACATCCATTAAATTTTTGTAAACCTATTGGTTGAACACATTTGATGTGTGACGAGTTCAAGAGATGGAATTTGTGATAATTCTCCATAAACTTTGCTCTATACTTTTCTTGTAGCTATGAAAGACGATGAACTATGAAGTTATTTGGTGAACAAACCTTCCCTTGGGTTTCTTAAGTTCAGAATATGTATACTGACTCTTTCAAAAATGTATAAAAAGGGACTGCGCCTCTCCTTTAGACAGAGTAGCTATTTTCCAACTTTGAAAACATTTTTACCAATTCTTTTCATGTTATTAGTTGAACGAACTAGGCTAAGTTCAAATTCTTAAATTGATGTAATTTTTGAAAAATCTAAAATATTATTGTGAAAATGTGCTCGGCACCTCTAAAATTTGAAAACAATTCAACCAGTGTTTTCAAGTTACTGGCTGAACAAAAGTGTCTTCGGAGGGATGGACTTCCTTGGTATAGTTTTCCATTCCCGACCTTTTTAGGCCGGAGGTATAAAAAAAGTAAAACAGCACATATGAGAAAGCAGTTCTATTCGATTTCGAAAATAAATATTTTATTACAATCTTTTTAAACACCCGCACCTAAGTTGTAAATTGTAGGGCATTAGAAATTATACTTTTGGAAACTGGATTCGTACAAAAACGTATAAACCTTATAAAACCGTTACCAATCTGAAAACAGTTACCTGAACACTGCGAACGTAGGAAGTGTGATACCCGTAACACATCCACATCGAATAACCATTCCTTCTTTGTTTTAGTTTTAGCCACCACCAACCAGCGTGTACATTTCTTTCGCACGTCACTTTACTTGTGTATGATACAAATCACCCTAAAGCCACTAGGGTGTCGCATCATAAAATAGATGCCATCCTTGGCAGCGATAAAGAGTTAATGTTAAGACAATTATTTTTGGCATCGAAGCTGTCAAACATTCCACAAGCATCCTGGTCAATTGTCCACTATGAACAGTTGACGCTGTCATCCCAGGGCTACGGGCAGACACTAAGAACCAGATTGGCTGCAACCGGCGGTAGTTCCTGGTCATTGTTAACGCTGATAATACGACTTGGGTTCCGAGAAATGGCCAGCAGCTGGGTCTGTGTGATAGCCACACCCATGAGGGTCGGAAAGGTCACTACCCATGTCTCCACCCCCACATTCTCTGCAGCAACAGCAGCAGCTTCCGTAGCCGCATCATTGTTAGACGATCCATCAAGAAGGACCACCAACACCTTATTCGCTCCAGCATTGCCGTTGTTGATCAGCTGGTTGGTTGCCTCTGTAATGCCTAGGTCGACAGCGGAGCTAGCAAACGGGATGGTGTTGTCGGTGGCTAGGGCGTTGATGACGCCGTTTAACACTGCGTTATCGCTGGTGATGGTCTGCAGTGTCTGAACATTGTTCTCGAAGACGGTGAAGCCGACGGGGCATCTGGCGAGAGGGAGATTGTCGACGAACGTGTTGGACCAGTCAATGATGGCGGGGTTATAGAAGGCATTTAGACCTTGGAAACGGGTTGTACTGGCGGAGTGGTCCAATAACACCATAATGTCCACCATAATAGCTAAAAATAAGAAACAAAATCCAAATGTAGTGTGACGTAAAGACCTCCCCCGCCTTCTGGGTGGTTATGGATCAGAATCTACTTGTAACATAGGTTTTATTTGGGATTACACTTCCTCAGTAAAGTAGAGATTCTAGTCCTTTTGTTGGGTTGAATCCCATCCGGGATTCGAGCCCACACCCTCAGAGTCAGGCACCTGATCGTAAGCACACAAAGTCAGCCGTCTAACCTGCTCAGCCGCCACTGCTTCCAGATGGGACTCGACCCAACAAAAGTTCTAGAATCTGTACTAAAAGTACTACACTGAGAATGTGTAATCCCAAATATAACATATGCTACATTTGACCACTTCCTAAATGACATTGTGTAATCACAGAATCTACTTGCTTGTCGATCTGATGGCAAGAAACAATGATCAACTATTTGACTGGAAAATACATCTGGTACATTGATGTTAAACCTATTCACTAAGTCGAAGTGCTCCAAATGCATGTTAAGGAAAGCATTTCTGACTGTATAAGCTAGAAATGTCTAGACTATCAGAGGTCACGATACATAGTTGAAACATTACCCTATAATACCTAATATATTAGTGAAATATTCTTATTAAAACTGACATGACATTGATTTTTTTTATGTTTCAACAACATCGCGCGGGAAGACACCATCAATTAATACGTACCACCCATAGTCGTTGCGTCGTTGACCACCGTTGTCATTGGCGTTGTAGTTGTTGTCGTCGGTGTAGTTGTTGTTTGCGTTGTAGTTGTTGGTGTCGTAGTTGTTTGCGTTGTAGTTGTTGTCGTAGCAGTAGTAGTAGTTGTTGTCGTGGTAGACGTAGTTAATGAAACTGCAAATTATTGGAATAATTGAGGAATAAATACAGGTTGTTTCATCTCTTAAACAAATACATAAATGAAAATATATCATACGCTGCAGACATATTAGATAGTTAGTTCAGTCATGATGCCACAGATCCCTGAAGATCCGGATTAAAACTGGTCTTCAGTAACCCATGCTTGCCGTAAGAGGCGACACACGGGATCAGGTGGTCAGGCTCTCTGACTTGGTTGAAACATGTCTTCGTATCACAGTTGTGTATATCGATGCTCATGCTGTTTGTCACTGTATTGTCTGGTCTAGACTCACGTATTTACACACGTGGCTACAGACCGCCTCCATTTAGCTGGAATATTGCTGATTTCGGCGTAAAACAACAGACAAAACCAACCAAACCTTGACACCACATACATCAGGGTTGGAGATCAGTCTTTTCTCATCTTATTATCTATGACAAATGTCATAACGACAACGCGAACAATACATGAAACAAAGGTTTCCCTAATTAACTTTAAAATTGATAGGGTAAAAAACACACCTGTGGTCAGCTTCTTCTGAATTACCTGGCTCACTGTCAAAGAAAATATGTACATAAATTAATAAATGGACGTGTCTTTATCGGCTATATGTCTTTACAAGTACTTCGATTTGTGTCGTTATTGTTAATGTTTCAATCTGATAATCGTTGTACTCACGTTTGCAAATAAGTTGCTTGATTGGTTTGACAAAGTAAATAAGAAAGTAATCGTTGGGCGTTATCAAGATTCGATCACGACTTCCTGCCATTGCGGCCAGCTCTTGAGACGGGGCGAAGCGGCCGAAGCCGACACCAATGACGGCGACGTGATCCGCCCTCAGCAGAAGGCTCTCAGACACTGTGGAGAAATAGTTGTCTGATTGCTGTGGGGTGACGACAATGGCAATACGAGCGGCGTTTGGACGAGCGTCTGTCTTGAAGTAGGACCTGATGGACCTCAGAGCCAGAAAGGTTTTTGCTCCCTTAAATTGTGGTCTCCAAGTCTGAATAGCTAGCTGAAGGTCGTTTGGGTTGCTGGTGAAAGGTGCAAGGAGTCTCACAGTGGTGCTGACTGAAACGATGGACATTCGGACTTTGCTGTAGTCACACTGGGTGACGAAAGATTTGAGAAAATGGACAAGCCCCGGTGAGAGAACTATTCCTCCCCAGCTGTGATACATGGTCGCTTTGGAGTCAGCAACGGCGACCACGATGTCGGTGTTGACTGGCACTGAACACGCTGAAATCGAAAACACACTGTGTAATTACACTCAGTTCAATATATGTGATAATACATAAGTACGTTAGGGTACTTCGTCTTCAGGATGTTATCATACAAAACGGCATCCTCTGCATCTAACATGTCCACACAGACACCTTGTTCATGTTCACTCGCCCATTTATAGATTTCCCCAGCCATTTTGTCTTCTGTTCGAGACTGGTCATTCGTTAATCAGAAAAGTATCGCACGTTGTACATCTGGGAATCTTAGTTTGTATCTAACTGAATTTGTTGATCAGAGGTTTGTGTAGATTACATACATGTAGTTCGGTTTTGTAATCAGTACATACAACATGAAACAGGGACACGTGAACCACCAATGCAGAATATAGATAGTAGATCACATATCTGAATGCGCCAAGACTTCTTTTATCCGATAGCCGAGTAATACAACCATTTGTGTAAATATATATAAATGTAAAATTAGGTCTGAACAAACATAATTATTATCTTTTCCCACTCGAGTTTATATAGAATTGAACTATAATAGATCGAAGACATATTAAATATTCTGCATTCAATTTATATGTCTCGTGCAATTATACATTCTGAATTCATTCTCTGGGTTCATATAATACAACGTTTATCCTTTTCATGTAATTTCATGTTATTATTCTTTTTCAGAGAAACATTTCAATGGATTTACTCACGTGAAGCTGAGGCGTATCTTCCTAACAAGAAACAGACGGCCAGGCAGACGAGATACAGGCGAGCAGACGACATCAGGAACTCCATATTTCCTGAAGATGGTAACAATAGTTGAATGTCTGCAAGGTAAAAAAGTAAAACATCTTCAAAGAAACAGGCACCAAATTGAAGGATCTGTCCGTAATTGGTAAACAACATGTTAATGACACTCAAATGTAACTAATATTGTTAACGTTTGGCGGTAATCACATCGAGACCGACCATGTTGAAAATAGCGTAGTTTTACAAAAAGACACAAACTGAATGTGTTAAAATTCTTTAAAGGCACTATGTTCTCGAAACGAATGAAATACACACACTTTTCACTCGGCTGACTCAGAGGAAGATAGACGGGAATGACAACACGTCCACTGTCCCTTCTAATATAGCCAAGTGACTACAGCCAAGGGTCAAGATCAGACAGCGTTGCGGTCAAGCATCCAGCGCTGCCCCAGTATTGCAAATCGAGCGTAAACATGAACAGAATCGTTTCATGTTGATTAGAAGAGATTAATATGATTACATTGGCAATCACAGTCTAGAGGCGTGACCTCTACATAATATGCACGCTGATGTTGGTGTAGTGATGACGCTTTGAAATATTTCATAAGCGTTTGTATAAGTAGATAGTTTGAATCTTGCAACGAAGACGCCAAAATTTTAAATTATGAAAACATCTCATCTCTTTGAATGTAGTTATTTAAGTCCACTATCCGTCTAGAAAAAGCTGATAGTCAAATATTTCTTCAATTTTCTTTCTCTTTACTAGAACACTGCATTGTCGTTTAGTAAATATAGACTACTTGTATGGTTATTTTCTATTTAGGAAAAACATTTTGTTGCTTACTGTGAATAAAGAAATATAATCCAATATGTAATCCTATAATATAAAGAGAATATCTCCTTTTTTAATCTTATTCATGTACGAAATATGTTACTGATGTGACTTGTGCGTATCACTGATAATCCTGCACATCACCCTTATCAGCAAATCTTTATGGGGTAGAATATACGTAGTGCTAGTCATGAACTCGTGAACTAGTAACTTCAGCCATGCAGAATAATGATGAGCCTCCCAATACGTCCAGATGACCTTTTACCTTATGACATAGCTATGAGGTTAATTTTGTAGGCGACTGCATTTACAAAGTGATCGTGTTAGACTCAACATGTTTTCTTGTTTGAGGAAATGAGGTGAGATGGAGTTTACATGGCAACGTGCATACACGTCTCTCTCTCTCTCTCTCTCTCTCTCTCTCTCTCTCTCTCTCTCTCTCTCTCTCTCTCTCTCTCTCTCTCTCTCTCTCTCTCTCTCTCTCTCTCTCTCTCTCTCTCTCTCTCTCTCTCTCTCTCTCTCTCTCTCTCTCTCTCTCTCTCTGTGTGTGTGTGTTTCTTCAAGACAGGAGTAATGCTAGTTTTATAGTGCTAGCCTAGGATACCTTGTCGCGGTTGAATATGGATACCCCGCTCACACACTGTATGACGATTCCGTGCTGATCAGTCGTTGTTTTGACCCATTAAAGCAGCCAGGGTAAGAACCTGAACCATCTTTTAACGTTTGTTTGGGTATGAAGCGGCCACGGATCGAACCACCGATTTTCCGTTCTCTGGCAAACGCATTATCCAGTAGACCTCGGAGGCGGTCTCTATTTGTTGATAAAACGAACAGTGTTATGTCTGCATTTATTCATGCATGAACCGTAAATTGCTCACCCCAAGGAGCACAACATTTACAGAATGCCATAACACCCTGTCCCCACCGTATCCGTCTGGGGCAGGACAGGGACACGTGTGCGTCAACGCCATAGGCAGCCATCCACGTCGGCTGACTTGGCCAAGCCTTGTGGGGCAGACGACATCACATCGGCATTATGAGACTCGTACGCAGTGTTGTACCCCGTCGAGTGAATTTTTGTTTGACAAATCTAAGTTGTTTTACGCTGAGCTGCTATTTCCCATCTTGTCATGCAAGATCTTCGGCGATCACAGCATCTCCACTACCGTTTGCAATGTGTTCCCTATTCCCATACCACTATAACTACAATAATATAAGTTGTATGCCTATCTCGAGGGTAACACGGTCTGATATACGCCTCTTTGTAGCAGTGTCACCCGAGCCGGTAGGCGAGTAATAGCTTAAATAAAACAGTGAAAGTCAGTAAAATAAATCTGTACAAAGTGAACACAAAAACAGCTGATCGAACGGTTTTCGAACTCCGGGCACGGCATGCGTCATATTATGACGTCATACGATTGTTAGCGCTTCAGCTTCTCGGCGGAGAGCTTGGCGGTTACCGTGGCAGCGGGTAATATATTTTCCAGTTGTCACCCTCCTGGGAGGGGTGACACGGAAACTTGTTAAAGCGTCATTGACCAATGAAATTAAAGTATTTTACATGAAAGTAAGATAATTGTACGTGTCAATACGCAGTGAATAGTCTTGCAATTTCCGGGAATCGAATACCATTCGATCATGTTTTTCAAATAATCAGATTAAAGAACACGGTGACTTTTGGTTTACAATAAAAGATATTTTTGAGCATCCCCAACTTCGTAAAAGACTATATTACTGTAGACTACGTTTATAACGAACATGCATGTAACGAACTGTTTGGTTTGGTTTGGTTTTGTCCTGGTGCATATAGGCGAAATGCGCATTATGATGAACGGTTTTGATGAACTAATACCAATGGCCCTTCTGAGCTCGAATATCTATAATTTTATCGTTTTAATGTTTAACGTTATTGGGCATTTCTGTACCGTTTGAATGAAGTGAATGAGCATTGTTTAACGCCGCTTTTTGCATTATTCCAGCAATATTACGGCGGGAGTCACCAGAAATGGCTTCACAGATTGCACCCATGTGGTGATTCGAGACCGGGTCTTGACGGTGTGACGAGCGGACGCTATTAACACAAGGCCGCCCCACC